AACGGCTCTCTTACATTACCCAGAAATTGGTTCTCAGCCAAAATACTAATGGCCATGGTTACTATTTAGCATTCACCATGCATCCAGCTCTCTGCTGGGTCACTTTCATTTCAAAGCAACCCTGTAAGTACTTCACATCTGACAGGTGAAAGTTTCAAATCCAGAGAGGGCTAAGTATTTGCCCAAGGTTGCCCAAAGAATAGATTTCAGATAGGATTCCCAGGGCATGTGACATGCTCCTCATTAAGCAAAGGCTATTGGTAGTTTTGGAGGAATAAGAAAGAGAAGAGGCTTGGGGCGAAGGTCAAAACGAGGGGCATAAACCAGGTGAGAAGAGAATCAAGCCTTCAGCAGGGCCCAGATGTCCAAAAATATAAATATTCAGTATTGTTGAGTTTGGTTTGAAAAGACATGAGATTTTGATACAGAAGAGGGAGAAGTGAATGGCTGGGAAGGGGCAGGAAGGCTGCTTGCTGAACTGAGAAGAGACACAGGACGCGTGAGAAGCACAGGCAGGGAGGGGAGTGACTGTGTGTGGAAGTGGACTCTTGTTTGGGTCCATCTGCGACACAAGTCATTACTGCTTGGAAAAGGGGCCAAGATCATAAAGTCAACATTGATGTCCTGGAACACATTTCCAGAAGAAAGGGGAATGATGAGACTGGGAGTGGGTAGCCCAGGGAACTCATCCCAGTGTCCACGAATGGAGTGTAAACCATGGACTCATGCTTATTTGGTTCCTGGGGACATATGCTAAACGCGACAACAACTCTAAAATAGGACTGCTGGGCGCTGGGAAATGGCTGTCACTATAGTGCTTTGCTTCCACAGACACACCAGTACCTGAGTTTGATCCCCAGCACCCACATAAAAGCCGGGCACAGTAGTACATACATGTGGTAAGCCCAGCAATGAAGTGACAGAGATGGGAAAGTCCCCAGGCCTCACTGGCCAGCCACTCTAGACTATTTGGTGAGCTCCATGTTCAATGAGAGACCTTTCTTAGAAAATAAGGTGGAAAGCAATTGAAGTACCTGATAGCAACCGCTGGCCTCTACATGTATACAAGCACACACACACATGCACCTGTACACATGAACATCTGTACACAGTCACACACAAAATAAGGTGGTCAAGTGTCTAAAAGAAATTTTACAGTTTCTTGATTTCTTAACTGGCCAATTTTATCTTTGTTTCCCTTCAGTTAGCTAATTTCGGTATTTTATTTTAGGGAGGAAATCCAGTCTTTCTACATCAATTTCTTATCCAAAAATTCATATTCATTCTCTCTCTCCCTTTCCCTCTCTCTCTCCCCCTCCCTCTCTCCCCCCACACTGTGACAGGATGACAGATTGCTTGGAAACTGTTGTTTCCCTTGATTCCAGCCTGTTGCCCAGCTCAGTTCCATCACCAGCACCTGCTTATTAGCAATCCTGTACATGTGAGCACTGGCTCTTCCTGATCTCTCAAACATATCCTGGCTGTTCATATTCCATTTGTTTAGTCTTTTGTCTTATGGCAAGTCATCTTCTACCTTTTATGATAAGAGCAAATTGAAATTTCAGTAGAGAACATCGAGCTCTTTGCACCTGTAGCTCATAATGAATTGGCCGCGTGATCTTTAGCAAGTCACTTCCCGTCTCCGAGCTCCATTAAGCATGTTAGACACAACTAAGGCAGCTGAAGACAAGAGTCCTCAGAGTTCTTTCAGATCTAATAGTGGACACTTTTCTCGTTCCCATCACAAGCTGATCTGAATGAGAAACTACTACTCTACTCAGTAAGGAACTGAATGGATGAGTGTCACCTGAGGGGCCAGCCTTTCTTTTCCCTTATTTTCCTTTTCTCTCTGGGACTTGCTTGCTCCTGTGGTGGCCCAGATTTTCTCTCTGCTGCCATATCTGATGGTCTGTTGCTCTTGGCTACTTTCCCTGAACAGTCTGAACTTTCTCCATGGTGTTCAGGGGCCCCTTGGTCTGTGAGCAGATTTAGAATTTCCATATTAGTGCACATACTGACTGGCTCCTGCTCCTCCTGAGTTTCCAACTGCATTGTTCAGAGATGCTTGCCTCTCCGAAATACTCAGGTAAAGTGCCAGGAAAATATTTATCTGCTCATTGGTGCTTCATTTGTGGGCCAGACTTGGCTCTTTCTCATTGCAAGTTCTGCCCCCAGGCACATGACTCATTTACCAAGCAGCAGGGCTCAGCAATTATCTCCACCCTCACCAGCTGGGGAAAACATCTTGAAGCCTACACCAATCAGCTACTTTCCTCCTCAAATCTCAAATTCTCTCTTCACAGCCCACCCAGAACCACTATTCCCGGATCACTCACCTGCACTCTGAGTTTCCTTTGAGCCAAACCCGGGGTGGGGAATCTTTCTGCCTATCCCGTGATAACTGTAGACTGAACCAACATTCTTATGAGAAAGAGGCTAGGGAAATTTCCACTTAGAACTGTCATTTAAAAAGTGGGCACGTTGGAAAAAATGGGCCAAAGGCTATTAAGCATAGAGAATGTTCTAAATCTAAGCAAGACGTGCATTTGAATCCTGACTGAATTTGGCATGTCTCTCTTTAGGTCATTCACGTATAACCTTTGGCCTTTCCACACACCTAGCTGCAGAGTGAGATACACTAAACTACAGGCTCCAGTCCCTATAATCATGTAGCTCCTGAGTGGTGTTTACAGCTAATGTGGCTCTAGGGTCACTGGTCTGTGCTAGTGATAAAGCCAAGTCACCACCACAAACGATATTTATGTAGAGGTCTCAAAGCCAAGTCCAAACATGCAGAAGCGTCTAACCTGTGTCCTGGGGAGGTGGGTTGGCAAAGGAGTCTGTCTATAAAGGGCCACTATACCAAAATAGTGGATTTTTAAACTTCACAAACATAAAGAACTTAAGTTCAATATCACTAATTACTTTAAAAGCACACGGACAATGTGAATCCCAAACAGACTGTTCACTTCAGGGAGTTGTCTCATAGAAAGGAAGTCAGGACATGTAATCTATTTAGACTTTTAAGCAACTTCTATTCCAAAGGTTAATTAAAAAGAGAGACTGAGAATGACTGGGAGTGGAGCTCAGATGTTTGCCTACTGTGATGCACATTGTTCTGAGTTTGATCTCCAGCTTTGAAAAAAAACCCCTGTAGGCTGATATTATCAAAATCATTCTAAATTAACTAAGACAGCAAGTAATAAACACTTAAAATCTTAAGGTCATAGTTAACTTTAAGTGAAAGTGGGCACACATAAACTTTAATGAGCAGCTTTCTGAGCTATGCAAATTGCTAACAATAACCCAGAAGCTCAGTGTGGAGAGCACATGAAGGAAACAATCCAGTCTACGTTTGTACAGTTCTGCTCCAGCCTGCTCCAGCCGAGGTCTATAAATAGGCCTGCTGACGACATCTCCTGTGCATTGCTTTACTTAGAAAACCAACAAAAGGCTTCATGTTCAAGTTCAAATGGAATTCTGTCCACACACTGCTTAGTGGTTATTTCCACACACTCTAATAAGCAAGAGCTGGGTTTCTAACCTGCTGACATCAGTTAGGACTAAAACAAACCTTGAATTAACGTTTAGAAACCTGAGAAAAGAGGTGACAGTTATTGGGCCCTATACTAACTCTATTCCCCTAACTCAAAATATAAAACATAAAGAAAATTTAATAACTGAGGAGAGATGATCCATGTCTCAGTTTTTCTTGCTTTTTTTTTCTAAACAAAGAATCTAAGTTTTTCTTTCTCTTTTTAAAATCAGGGACCATTTGGTAGGTAAAAACAAAATGTCTTTTTTTTTTTCCAGAATATATAAGAATAATCCAATTCAATGACTGCATATTAAATATCTTCAAAAATGTATTAATAAAAGTCCTAAACCCTTAACGGCTTTAAGCACAGAAGCAGTCATGCAACTCCAACAATTGTTTGCACATCTACCACTCAGAAAGCGGCTGTTCTTACCGTTCTGAGGAGACGACGGAGGACTTGCTTAGAAATGACAAGGTTGCATATGGTTTTCTTTGAGCTGTATGGTCAGTATTCAAATGTTTGCTTACACAAATAGTTTGGATTGTACTTATTAGAACTGTTAATAAAATCAGTCTATATTTTGTCTACACATAGACAAAATATATATTAAAAAGTTTTTTACAAACTATGAAAATTGTGCAAATATCACTTGAACATCTCTAAAGTCATCTTTATTTTAGATTTAGGACTCATCCTGCCTCAGATAAAATATTAGTCCATCTTAATTCCAATAGTTGTAACTCTTTTAAAAAAGTAAGCAAGCTTATTTATATTTAAGAATACAATTAAAAACATAGTATGTTATCAGAAGTAATATCATCATAATGTGTTAACAAAGTTTGTTCCTCTTACCTTTGTGCAATGCTGTTGTCAGTATGACTCTACACTTGATCCTCCTAATCATAAAACAGAACAGAATGACCAAGGGAGGACTACAGTGATCCAGTGTGAAAGACGGCAGACAGGATGACATGTATTGTCACATGAGGGTTCTAGATGACAAGGTGGCATTCTTCAATGTGAGACAGAGAATGATCCATCATTGGAGTTGGAGAGGACTTTGTAGCATGTCGGTCTGATGATGCAGCTCATGTTTAAGGACTTGGACAGGCTGAATCATAGCAGTGTGATAACTTCAGCTTAGGCCTGTTAACTGGAATTCTAGGACTCTATTATACGACATTGACTTTCACAAGATAAATTAGCTAGACTGACATCTTCACAGTAATCCAAGTCAGAACAGAAAATCCTAAGTGCTTTTAGTCAGATTTCCCAAATCCACCCAAACTAGACTACCTGTACCTGCAGATATAGTAAAATGTTTGAATGGGTTTTCATTACCCAGTAGTGCCTTCTAATTCTTCCTACACTCTTTGCAGCCACCACACGCGAAGCCACTCCCCAAGCTCCCAGAACTTATGAAAATAAGCCAGTAGCTGTCACATACTGTGCACCAGGTGCTGAGGCGTCTGAGAAGAAAACACTCAGAGAAGTGCCAAGTTTATTAGAGTGAGAGAATGCCACCCTCACATTGCCACCAAGACACAGAAACTGAGCTCACACCAACAACTATGGAGAATCTCTCTATTGGAAGATACCTTAGAGGTTACCAGGCTCACCTTCCCATCTGATGTGCTAATTCCCCTTAGTCACCTTCCTCCTGTGGACTGAGGCCAGGGTCTACTAATGTACAGCCATGACCAAGAGTCTGACCAGCTCTGAATCTGCACTCAGACAACAGAGCATGTTGAAGTACTATATGGCAGAATGATAGCTCCCAGGCTCAGGTCCCATAGTACGTTTAGAAGAAAGGCTCTCAGAATCCAGTGTGAAATCCCTCAATATCCCCTACCAAACACAAAACGCAAAGAAGTCCTGGGGTGAGGGAATAGGCTAGTAGGGCTTTGTCCATGGGCTTTCAGAAGGCTAAGTTCCTGGTCCATAGAGGGCATCTGCAGCCTGGTTCTGGGATGAACCATCTCCAGGAACACTTGTTCTTAGGCTTCGAAGATTCCTCATGGAAAACAGTTAGACCTGCTGTTCTACCAGCTGAAGCTTGGCAGTCTTGATTCTATGGGCTTCCTTGAGGTTTTGTGCACGGACTTCTGGGTTTGAAATGAACTCTACTTGCTGCAGAGGGAACCAGCCTTGCTCCCCATCTGAGAGTCTCACCCCCTCCAGCCAGCCTGTAGATGGAAGGTCAAAAGAAAGAATTACCTGGGGAGAAGCTCAAGCTAAGGCCCCTGGACCTCCCAGCTAAAAATTATTCCATATCCTGACTCCTGTTACTAGTTGAGTTTTGTCCCCTCAAAGTATCTGTGGATAACCTAATCCATGGTACCTCAAAATATGTCCTGAAATGGCAACGAGTCTGTTGTAAATATAATTAGTAAAGTTAAACTGAGGCCACCCTGTGGTCCGGTGGCCATCAATCCATTAGAATTGGTCTCCTCACAGAAAAGGAAATTTAGAGGAAAAAGGGCCACAAGGACATGTTGCAGAGATTGGAGTTATGCTGCACAATCCATTTTGGAGCTCCCAGGCTGGACAAGGTAAGGCTGTATCCTCCCTAGAAGCTTCAGCCGGATCATAACCCCTACCAGCACCTTCAGTCTGGACTCCTGGCTTCCAGAACTGTGAGAGAATAAATTTCTGCTGTAATAAGCCATTCGGCTTGTGGTACTTCATTCCAGCAGCCCTAGAAGAAGAATGGATCTGTGTGCCCTGCCTCTGGTATCCAACCGACCGCTCATGGGTTCTTCTCTTACCATCGCTGCTTTGCTGAGTCACCATCACCACATCCGCCTTCTCCAGTGCCAGCTCGTCATTCTCTCGGGGCTTGTAGGCTCGAAGGCACTGGACTTGTGGCGAATCTTTGGAAGAGAAGGTGGAGAATGAAGAAAGATTAGGAGAGATGGTAACTAGAGCATGGATGAGGAGGAACTGTAGGAAGTATGGGAAGGCTTGAGGTCAACGTGGGATTTACATAGAAAGTACAGAAACTGGTCCATACCTTTAATCCCAGCAATCAGGAGGCAGGGGCAAGTGGATCTCTATGAGCCGGAGGCCAGCCTGCTCTACATAGTGAAGCCCTGTCTTAAAAAAAGGGGGTGGGGGGCTAGAGAGATAGCTCAGCAGTTAAGAGCACTGACTGCTCTTGCAGAGACCTGGGTTCGATTCCCAGCGCCCACATGGTGGCTAACAATCATCCATAATTCCAGTTCCAGGGATCTGACAGCCTCTTCTGACCTCTGCCAGCATTGCATGACACGGGTGCACCTACCTACATGCAGGCACTACACATTAAATAAAGATAAAATATTTTTTTTTAAAGGGAAAAAAAGGAAACAAAACCAAACCAAAAAGAAGCAATTGGGCAAAGCTTGGGAGAACTTTAACAGATGGATGAAGAAACAAATAGCAGCATGGAAGCTGGTAAAAAAAATTCTAGTTTTCTGGCAAAGATGACCGGGAAATACCTTGGGACTAGATTTAATGACTCATTATTAGAGATACTCGAGGTTCTGCTGAAGATCCACCTTCCCTCTGAAATGTTCCCTGGCCTTCGATGGAGTTTGAACTCCAGTATTTCATTCATGTTTCCTTTGCTAGGGCAAAGCACAGATTTTGTTCCAAAGGATACAAGAGATAGTGTGATCTGAGCCCAATACAAGTGACCATGGCTTGGAAGCATGAATAGCCTCCCCTGAATGATACGTTATGCTGTGGAAGAGGTTACGTCTGCGGTCACAGAACAAAAGAAAGGCATGAATCAGTGTGGTAGGCAGGCTCCAGCAGAACGGAAAAATCTCTCCTATAGGTTACAGATGTTATCTTAACATTCTTAGCTTTAGGGTTGGTGAAAGCTAATGGTCTTCTAAGTTTAACAATACGTTCCAAAAGTTTGACCTAATAGTCACAAGAATATCAAGCGTGAGATACAGGTTGGTAATAAATAGCTATTAAGGGGTCTAAGGAAGGGGTCTAAGGAAGGTGCAAGGTAACTTTGGCTCCTGATCTGCTACGTTCCATCTCTGTAATCACAAACTTCAAGTCAGTGCACGGGGTCTTCACACACGTAAGAACTCCAGTCCACAGCTTCTCCAACAAGATGCAATGTCTGAATTTGTAAATCCTTCACTTTCTTCATAGTACTGGAAGTGCGATCTCTGTTCCCTAAAAAACCCTCTACCAATAAAATTTCAGGGTGACCTAGTCGCCTTGATTCTTTTTGGACTCAGTTTCCTCATCTGTAATTAATCAAGATGATCACTGATCAAAATGGTTCATGAGGAAATTCTAGATTTCTCTGTGGTATTGTTCTGAACCAGGCAAAATTTTTATAGATTGCAATTAAGTTCAAGTATGCCCTATAAACATTCCATCCTGCGTGGGTCTGCTTCACGGAAGCCTCTGCTTCAGCTCACTGCATTGGTTTTACAGAAAAAAACCGGAATGGTGCACTATTTTAACCACGCCTCTCTTTTTTCTAAGGCGCACCATTATCTTCCATTCCCAAGACTGAACTGGAAGAGGAAGATGCAGCCACCTGCCACCCTCGGCATACCACTGCTAAGTAAAGCTAAGCAATGGGCTATACCACCGCTAAGTAAGCTAAGCAATGGGCTATACCACCGCTAAGTAAGCTAAGCAATGGGCTATACCACCGCTAAGTAAGCTAAGCAATGGGCTACGTAGTGAGGGAACAGCACTCAGTTTCAGCTGTGCTCTCCTAGGCCCCTTTCCAAGGTTCCTCACACTCGTTCCTTTTACCCACGAAAGGCCAAACGTTCCTTTGAGCGTGTTTTTTATGTGGATGTGAACAGGGGAATTTTGGTTGGAGGACAACTGTGGGCTGAAATGAGCGGCATCTCAGCAAGAATGTACACAAACTGATAAGGCGCATGAGTCTCAGGCTGTCCTGTGGACTCTTGGTTCGCGGCCCCAGCCACCCCGTCCAGGAAGGGCTGTGCTCAGGACTGTCTGTGTTGCTGTCCTCCTCCAGTTCCACTGCAGCTGTACTGCCTCCCTTGGTTTCCCTCCAACACTGACAAATCAGCAAAATTCATTAAAAATCAAGTCCCAAAGGCACACATTTGCCTAAGTGAATGCCCTGAGTAAAGTATGACAGTGAAGGGCAGTTTAAGATGCTGGGGCCAGTATTCTTCCCCAGACTCTGAGGAAAAGCAATAAACAGAAGTCTTAAAGTTACAGCCAGCACACTGCACCTGGATCTGAAGGAGACCCCAGACACTGCCAGTTTCTCTGACGGATCCTCACTCACCGTAACACTCCAGCAGGTCTAGTTCCTCCCTTGGCATGGCCAAGGCTGAGATCCACCGCAGCTTTTCACTTCTGAAAAAACAAGGGAAGCCACACCTTCAATTGCAGTCTGGGGATGTAGGCTGAGGGCCAATGGTGGGAAAGGCAAGCGGTTACAGGAAGGACTTAATCTAATTCAATGACTTCTGAACGTCAGTGGGACCCTGCTCGGCTGGAATATGGTAGGACCCTGAGCTACGTGTTAATGTGTCTCCTTTACCTTTCCCTTCTCACGACTTCATCTATTTTACCCACAGAGGCAATAAGGTGAGCTGTCAATCACACACATGCACATTTTTCACACTGGAAATCATACTGAGGAAAACGTTCGTCTCAGTTTAGACACAATCACATTGCATGACTCTTGACACTCTGTCACTGACCTTCCTTCAGTTCAATATCTAAGATGAAAATTATTGTGATGACAATTTAGGGAGATATATCCATTTAATTGTTGCATAATGTAATCTTATCCTAATTTTGTGATTATCCAAAGGTTTTTATATTGTCCTCTGCTTCCAAATGTGACTAGGTGATTGAGAGCTACACTTTCACTGTTCCAGGAAGACGCTGCCCAAAGCTCTGAAAAATAGAACACGGATTCATAGCTGATTGTTTCAGGTGAAATTCAGACTGCAAACCCATATACTAGCATCTGTGCTCCCTGAGCAGAGGTCGGTATTATTAACCCCACCCTGAAATGTCTTCCAGGGGACACTGTGGAAAGCATCTGCATCACATGGAGCCTTACCAGAGATAAGCTCCCCTGACATCTCATAGTAGCAGTAAAGCTTCCTTCCGTCTTTAGCATACTGCATTATGTACCAGATTTTAAAGGCATCGTGTTTTACTTTCCAAATGTATTAACTTTTTACTACCATTGAAAAGATGAGCAAATCAAATTTCTCAGGCAGATTTCTGCCCAGAAGAGGATAGAGCTAGGAGATGAGGAAAAGAAAAGACATACAAGTCTTATTCACATAGGTTCCCACCAGCCTTCAGTGCTGAAGCCCTAGCTTGCGCATTCGAGCACACACATTAGATTGCTATATCACTCGAGGATACAGCAATCCAATTCTCTGTTCACTCCAGGCCAGCTCATCTCCTTGTCATAAGCCTGTGTTTTTCTGGGTAAAGACTGTAGGACAGCTGTTAAGCGTTGGTGGCAATTCACACCTTCTCTGGCACCAAATGTCCTACAAGTTACTATTAGCTCTAGGGCCTTGGGTTTCCCTGTGAATGCTTCTCGCTGCAGTAGAGGCTGTACAGTGCTGAGTCCATGGCCTGCCTGGGTTTCCACCCTCGATGACCCCCCCCACCCCACTGCTGCCCGTGCCAGCCCCAACTCACTGAGTCTCGGTGCGGAAGAGGAACTCGGTTTGGGTGCCCTGTGCATTGTGCCGCAGGAAGAGGCGGAAGAGGTTTTTGTGGGGTCCGTGCAGCTTCATTTCACACTTCTCCCCTCGGATGCAGGAGAATGGAGCGTGGTCGAATACCAGGAACCGGCTGCCCCTGCAGGACGCAAGTCTTTTTAACATGATTCTGTAGTGTCCATAGTCGTCCACCCTCATGGTCGCAGATTCGAATGCCTGCCCTTAGTTTCTACAACTTCGAATTCATATAAAAACCATCTGGAGGCCTTAACTTGCTCCCAATACAGTAACCCCAGGGTCTCCAGTACCTATCTACTGCTGTGGTAGGAACTTTACCACTCAAAGGAATTGAAGAGATAGAGCCAATTTTAACTTTCCAGGGTCATAATGATTGGAGTTAAGATTTGAAATTAGCCCAGAATCTATTGGCTAGTAAGTTGAACACAGCCCCAGGAAGCTACAAATAAACTTAGCTGAGAATGTGGTGCTTATTAGCTGCAGTTTATTCACGTCTATAACACAGACCAGACCCTGCTGTGATTTCATGATGTAAAGACCCCTGCTGCCCCCTTTCCTGTCCTCTAAGCTATAGTTCAGACTGAGTTGTCCCACTGGGGACAATCCCTTTGATGTCTCCCCTGATTCAATCCCTTCCCTTCTTGTGCCTTGGCCTCCCATCCCAGCCACTGACTCTCGGGGCCGGGACAGCAACAGACAGTCATTGAAGAGATGCAGGTGGACTGGACGCGTGTTCAGTTTCCTTCGCAACCCTGGGGAGACACTGAACTCAAGGGCTGTCAGCTCCCCACTCTTCACCAGCCAGCGAGATTGTGAAATGAGCGGGAATATCTACAGAGTGGGAAGAGGGAGAAGGCAGGTCACGGGTAGGGCTCTTCCCCTCAGTCCCACCCAACTTATACCAATGACCAAGTCCAGATCTTATCTTTTTCTCCAACCCATTCAGAGTCTCTCAGAACCCTCTAACTACACTGTGTACTGATGTGTGAATCCCTTGTTTACATGCTCAGGCAATGGAAGGTGACTGTGACTGTGATCCAATAGGGAGTGTGATGATGTGAGATAACAGAGAGTCCAGTCAGAGCATGTTAATGGGTAGGCAGGGCACAGCACGGCATGGCACAGAAGCCAAAGGATCAGGGGCAGCTGTGGTATCTGTTCTTTCCTCAACAATAATCAGACACAAGACGGGAGCTGTGAGAACCAGATATGGAGCTGAGGATAAAGAGACCCTAGGTGGAGCTGGGGCATGGGTCTTTGAAGATGAGGGTGCTGAGCTACAGCTAGAACACAAGATATGGACTTTGGCTCTCTTCTAGGGGAGTAAAGATAGCATCTGTTCTGAGCTAGAATTTCAATGTGAAGTCATTTTTAAATTTGTGTTTGGACGAGAGCTTTTGAGACTTGGGGAATGTTTTGATTGGAGTAGAACCCCAAATTCTCCTAAAGGCCTTATTCTGGGAAATTCCTTCTGCCCATTTTCTAGATGTTGTTCCTCCTCCTTTGTGACCTCCTCCTATCCCCCCTTCTTCACCCTCCTCCTTACGGTTCCTCCTCCTCAGGTAACCACTGCCTTTTCCACGTTTTCTGGCCATCCTTCTAGTTCCTTATTTATACACGTGCAGAACACACACGGATTTTCATCCTCTACATTCACACCAAAGGTAACACAGTGTATAGACAGTTCCACATTTCTACACTTTCTCTTACCAACTTGGCTTAGAGACTGAAGTGGACATTAGCTTATTCCAAAAATGTAACGAAAGAGCAGGTAGGACCATTGGAGGCTGAGGATGGTGTAAGCAAGATGACTCTATTAGAGGATGCTCAGTAGGACATGCTAAGGAGATCATGGACAAGGTAGAGCACCAGGAACTGACTCACTTTGCACTCAAACTCAATCTTCTGGCTCAGGTAGATCAGCTCCTCTGTCCGCCGCATGCTCTGCACATTGTTATTGCAGTCTCGGATCAGCTGAGTGGAGGGAGAGAGGGAGGGGGAAGGGCATTCTCTTAGAGTTCTGACCTTTCAGTCCCCTGCAGGCAATCTGGAAAGATGCCCCACAGCCTCAGCCTTTCCCACCAGGCTGGAATTGAGTGACAGCAGCATCAAAGTCACATCCTAGGGCGCTCAAATACTTTAAGTGACCTAAGAGAACAGTCCTAGGATGAGGAATTGTGGTGCTGGAAGCACAGTCCCTAGAAATGGATGCAGAAGAGGAAGTTTGGTGGATGTGATGAGGTGGCTGAGCTCTTCCTTTAACAGGGTGCTACCTCCCAGGTTCTCTGCAGTCATGGATGTCGGGGAAGGGGAAGGTCACTCCCTGAAGGGGCACTGGGGTCAGAATGGATGTGAGCCACCTACCTTCTCCAGAGCATGGTGTGCTTTTGTTGCCTCTGCTTCCTCTAAGGAGCCAGGTTGTGTTCTCTTCAGAATGTTCTATAGAGCAAATAGGAGACAAGAGCCAGATGGACAAACAGGAAGAAACGGCTGAGCAGTGCTTGGTGCAAAGGCTGGGCACACAACTTCAGCAACAAAGATTTCTGAGAAAGATGTGAGCAGCTGGGAAAACTGCTCACATCGTCTACACAATGTGGAAACTTGACAGAAGAATGGATGGTCCTTGGCCTCAGGCCTCCAGGGTCATCTCTTTGAGTTAAGGGGAGAGGAACAAGGAAGTATCCACCATACCTGGAGCAGCAGCTTGAGACGGGTAATGCGCTGGAAGGGCAGAATCAGAAAGGACTTGAGGGACAGGCGTTGGCAGATTGGGTCACTCTCCAGCTTCTCCAAGACCTCTCGGAAACTGCTGTTGCTATTCCTATATGAGCAGTGAGCCTTGAGTGAGGAGGGAGGTGGGGAGCAATGGAGGTTCACTGAAGGAATGGGGAGTGGGAGTTCAGGAAGGTCTGGGATTGGGAAGTAATGGCGACGGCCAGTGTCCAGGGGTCCAGATGTGATTGCTGAGGGATCTCATAGGGAGAGTGGGCTGAGACATCTAGTGGCCACAAGAAGATACACTTAGACAAATGCTTTGGGCTGGGGATTGGTTCAAGGTCACTACCAGGCCCACAAGTGGAATGCATAGGGATCAGTCTCACATTAAGCTTTGGAAGGTGCGTTCCTGATAGGTCTGGTTGGTGACATAAGGCAGGTAGACCCGGCGGAATTCTGGGGCATGATTCAAGACTACATCACACACTTTGAAGGAGAAGATGTCGTTCTCGAAGTTCTCTTCTAGGTCTGAAAGGAACCTGTACAGTATTTAAACAAGTCTCATGAGACTTTGGGGTCTCAACTCAGCTGATCAGGTTTATTCCTGTATTCTGTGAACTTCTGACTTTTGTCTCCTTGTGTGGATAACTTCTTAACTCTTCTTAGCTCTGTGCCCCTTGCTGTAGAGTAGAACCCTTCCCAAAGTTGCTACGAGTTTGTTCGTGATTTAATTTAAATAGAAGTCTTAAATTCTCCTTCCTTTTCTTCTTTATCCTGACTTTCTAGTCTCTCAACGATTTCTATGCCTCATCTGCACTGGGATGCACACTCAGAATATGTGCAAAACCTCAACCCGAGCACTTCCCATTCATCACTCATCCGGCAATGGACCTGTGGACCCTCCCCTCCCCCATTCCTGCTCTTCCTATCCCTACAGTAGTCATGGAGGGAGCCTGGGCCAGAGCTATGACAAAGGAAAGGTTCCTAAGAGAGACAGATGCAGCTGACACCTCAACGGTTTAGAGCAGCGAGACAGAGAGAGTGTTTGGGAGAAGCCTCACGTGGTGCTGACGTCTCGCACATCCTGTAAACGAGAGAAGAGCCACTGGTGGTCCTGGGTGGAAAGGGTGAGCCGGAGTTGGGCTGAATGTTGGAAATGATCCACAGCGATGTTCAGACTGCGCAGGTAGGAGGCCTCTGACATAATCAGCTCAAATTTGGCCTACAGGGTCAGAAAGGAGGGCGATTAATGAGATACTTTTTATACCAGTTACTGAGCAATGTTTTAGGGGTAGAGTGCTAAACCAGAGAGATATTTTTATAACTCAAGGTCACAACAAAATTTGACCTGGTCTGGGGGCGGGGTGGGGTATGAGGAGTGTTAGAGTAATATGATTCAGTCTAGAGGCTGAACATCATTTATAAGCCTCTGATGATAATAGACAAATATATTTTCAAAAAACTTAGATACACACAAACATGAATAACTGTGATACAACAGATATGTTAATTTACCACATTATAGTAACAATTTAACAATTTTACCAACAAAACGCACTGCTGTCCCCCCATAACACTGTGGTATATACTTTTAATATAAACAATGAGGCTTATTTTTAAGAAAAGAAACCCAAAGAAATCGAGCATTTCTAGAATCATGTATACAAAATTAGTACCATGAAATGAAGCCAAAGAGACAAACAGAAATGATGAAAGAGGTCTAGTGGGTTATGCCAACATGCAACACAGCATGGGGCTTAAGACAGTGCAAAAATGAGAAAAGGGTTCAAGTACAGGAATCACCTGAGACTTTTTTATGAGAATTTCTGAGTGCTATGTGGGCAGACTAGAAGGGGTAAGAGAGCATTTTGGGAAATGGTGCGACATGTCTAGATGAGGGATGAAGGTCTGGTAGTCGGAGGCATGGATAGAAGTAGACCGTCTTAATTATCTAGGAGGCAGACACGGAAGACTTTGCTTAGCTGCTAGAAGTGGGGCATAAAAGAGGAGGAAGAGCCAGAGCTAACACCTTGGTTCTGAGTTGGGTAACGGGTTGAATGATGGAATCACTGAGTAAGCCAGAGTGCTGTGGGCAGGAATGCATGTAGGAAAGGAAGGTGATGAGCTAGGTTTGAGGAGATGCAGAAAGAAGCAGAATGTCTGAGAACATGGGTGGAAGTTCCAGCAGGGGGCGCAATGATTCATGGACATGACCAGTGGGCAGCTCATGGTTTCCTTGCAAGCGTGGCCTTCAATAGAGCCACTTGGATAGAAAACATAAGAAGGCAAACATGCCTTGTTTCATCACAGAGACAACCAACAACATGACCTGATGACCATCCTCTACTACACTGAACTGTGACGCTGTGGGGTTATTCCTGATACAGTGTTCAAAGACCATATGGCTTACACTGGCTCATTTAGATCTCTGACTCGTAGGGGGTTTGGTGGGGTTTTTGTCTTTCTAGATGGATATAGCAACTCTTCACTTTAGAAAATGTGATCTCAAAGGGAGTGAAGTCTGAGAAGGCATTTTGTAGACGGCAGAGATTTTATTTTATAAAATTAATATGTGTGTGAGGTGGCGATGGGTGGGGGGCTCCCTTCTCACAAAGGTAAAATGGCCCAAGGCTAGAACTGGAGCCTTAGTGACTCCCTAGATTGCTGGAGTTTCAGGGAGAGCTAGAGTTCAATTTGTCTTCTCATATTTGACACATGATTAGTGATTTTTCTAAACACAAGTGTTTTAAAATTCGCAGTTAGAAAAGGACCCTCAAGAAATAGATATGAAAAACCTAAAAATGTCTGACTTGGTAAAAGCACTGTTCATGCACAAGTCCTTATGGCCACAATGCCACTCGTCCTGACTCGAAAAGGAGGGGAACACAGCACTAATGTCCATTCAACCGTGCACCCGAGGAAGCTGCTAAGTCGTATCCTGTGCCTTCATTTAAACCACAAGGAAACCCTGCTAGGAAGGCACAGTTATCCCCAGCTTGTAGACAGGGAGACTGAACTATGTAAATGAACTATATAAGTTTTTCAAGGTTACATAGATAATGCATGGTAAAGCCAGGTCTGCATTATCAATAGCTGCATCATCAATAGTCATTTTTGGCTGACTATTCTGTTCTAACCATTTATCTTTTTTGTTCTTCCAGTCTTTGTATCTGTTTTATAAATGAGGAAACAATGGCTTCAAGAGATCAAGTGACTTGCCAAAGTCTAGCAGCAAATATCAAAGTAAGCTTCATTTATATCTAGGTCATTTGTTGTAGAACCCAATTACTGACATATTACTCTGGCCCACTGTGCCCTGTGTTCTTCCCAGAAGACAGGTTCTACTTCCTTTTTCAGACAGATCTCAAAGTAGAAGCTCTCCTTGGAAAACCTGACTACTGCTAAGAGCTTAGACCCAGACACACAGTCTCTACTGCAGCCTTGCTACTGGGAATGAAGACCAAGCAGGGACATTCTGAAAAGATATAGTGAGATCGAGAAACCAAAGGACAGTTGCCACTTGCCCTCTCGAGGGACCAGGTACAAAGCCACTGTGGATGTGTCTTGTTTGAAGGGGAAACTTTCTCGTGTAGCCTGAGACCCTGGTGGAAGGGAGGACATCATAAGTTTATCATGGAGCAACAGTGATGAAGTTAACGTCACATTCCTTCCAACAGATTTAGAGGCATGGTCACTCTGCATGAGCCCAGGCCAGTAAGAGGTGGGAGCAGATGGCATAGGCAGAAGTGCGGAGCAGCCTCTCCCTATACCACCATTCTTCAGCATGGTAGTGACCAGTGACTGGGTATACAGGTGAGGTATGGGGTGGGGACTGCCTGTCCTTGCTGGCTGTGATGAGTAGGAGATAAGCAGGTTAGCAGACACGACTTTGCAATCTTTTTCTCACCTGTCTCCCTCCTCTCCCCTGCCCTGTCCTGCCCCGTGAGGTACCTCTTGCAGTTTTTGGTCTTCATGGGTCATGGAGAGCAGTATGGTACTATTGCGGACCAAAGGGATCTCCTGCCAGAGGGAGGCACGAGAGGCCATGGAAAGGCGCTGCACGTAGGAGTCTGAAGTCGCAAGTGCTTTTCGAGGCTGCCGGGGGGAGTTGGGCCCAGGTGCCTCGGCCAGGTGGTCTAGCCTCTGCTGGCTCTGGATCTCCTTGTTCAAAACAACATCACTGTACTCCTGGTAAAGTAGTTGGGCTACAAGGGCAAGGATACATGGGAGAGGGAGAGAATCCAGGGAAAAGGAAGGTGAGTGGAAGCCCAGAGACAGAGTCAGAAGCTGCCATCTGTCACCGATCTCCGGCAAACACTTTTAGGAGAATCACCACCCTCCTGTTGGCAGCCATGAGTCCCAGTCCCACTTGGGGCCGAAAGCACACCTGAGCCTCTAGATCTGCCTCAAGGTACTCACAGGAGTTGATGAGCTTGGAGCAGCGTCTGGAAAAGCCCCCTCCCCCCTCCTTGGATTTCTTCTCCCTGTGGAACAAAGCAGGCTTTGGGTGCTCGTTGGCCATTAAACAGTAGACCCCAAAGTGTCTACAGATGAGGAGGTCTCTAACTTTCAGTATATCCGTTGTGATGTCAGGACCAAAGGTATGGTTGCTTCAACCTGTCCCCTCAGAGATCCTTCCATTCAGCCATTCTCTCTTACTCCAAAATCCAAGAGGAAGAAATTGAGCCCTTAGGGAGGCATGGCAAACAATTCCACTTTGATGTAACTCTGAGCACTTCTTTTTTACAAGATTAGTTTATAGCTATAGGGCTTAGAAGGACAACTGCCTCAGACACAGCAAGACAGTAGGTAGGTAACCTTCCTTCCCTAAAATCCTGGTGTCTCTTTCTTCCTCTTCTTACCCTCAGAAGAGAGGCACCAACTACTCTGGGACCCAGAACCCGTATCCACTAAAATTCTACTAAGGAAATGAAGACACTAAATGAAGACAGCAGAGCTGAGTTTGTTAGGAAACAGGGCAACTCACCGAAAAACAACGGAATCTGAGGGGCCGACTCGTCCCATGGTTGGACCTCTTGAATCTGGAAATGGATATGAGTGACATAACAGATGTCACTGGGACATTTAGAGAACATAAAGTGAGTGGAAGACGCAAATATCAGAAGGAAAACTGTTCTACTGGGAACCTGGGAGAGAAGACATTGCCATAACCAAACACATTCCAGGAGATCAGCATCCTCTGCATTCTTGACCCTCACGTCTGAATGGGAATTCCAGAAGATGGGATCAGCTGTGTCCCCAGCACTTATGTAATATAGGAACTGTACAAAGAAAGGGTATCTTAACTTCTTTAAGGGGGAAAGCAAGAAGCTGTAGCAATGGAGGGAGTCAGGACAACATCGGGAAGAAGAGGTGGACTTTAGGGCAAGTAAGAGATGGACAGGTAGACAAGAGGAAGAATGTTCTGATGGGCTCAGCCAGTCATGAGTTTCTGTGCTGAGGGCAGATGTAGGAGAGTGACACTGCAGAGGGAGCAGTGGGGATACTGGAAACAGAGGGGCTGGAAAAAAAGCTTTGCCCTACAAAGACGTTTCTGTGGTCACCACCCATTGCTTACCTGAAGAGTTCTCAGGCAAGATGGAAGGTCTGCGCAGACCTTGCCGGTTCCAGCCCTTATGCTTGCTGGGTCCGTGGCCCAGGTCAGCCTGTTCACTGCTATTCTCTGTTCTCCCTGAGTCCCGCCTGTGGGGCCAGCTGGAAGCCTTCTCCAGTTGGGGGTGGCTGGGTTTTTCTGGCTGCTTTGTTAGGACTAAAGCTGACCTCCTCGGGTCACTAGCTCCCTCCTGAGGGGCTGATCTTCTCAACAGTCCTTTCATAGGAGCCTCAGACTCTTCTGTGAGCCCTGGCTCATCTTTACTGGTGGGTTTCTGAAGCTCTGGGGTCCAGGGAGTGGTGGGAGAAGAGGGATTTAGAAGGTTCGTCATGTTGCTGAAAGCCAGGCCAGGGGATGCTTCAGTTTTAGCCCTATTGGTGGGAGCCACAGTCTCTGTTGATCTGCCTGTGGCTGGAGGCCAGGAAGTCCGTCCAGCAGAGAGAGGAGTGGAGACTGTCCAGTCATGGCCAGTGGGCCTTGGTTTGGATTGACCCCTTGAATTCATAACTCCTCCCAGAGTACTCCTGCTTCTAACCCTGGTCTTTGGGGGTAATGGGGGTGGTTCAGAGGAAGGATCCACAATAGGGACTGGGGGTAGAGGCCTGTAGATCCTTGAGATACTGGAATTAGAGATGGTAGAATGGGGGAACTGGGGAAAATCAGGAGTTGGGGGTAATGGCTTGTTGCATCTCAGACTGGAGGGGATGGAGGGAGTATGGTGGGGGCTATCTGGGGTGGATGGCAGAGGTCGGTGCTGCTTTGCCAGAAGGGGGTCAGGAACTTGGGGAAATGGGCCTCTAGGGGGACCATGTAGCCCTGAACTTAGGGCCAATGGCGGATGACTATGCCGCTTCAGCATGGGGGCCACTACACGGAGAGGACCAACTCTCTCCACCGTGGAAGAGTGGCCATGCCTCTTTTCCAGGGGAGGAGGGGGCAGAGGTTCATAGATCCTCATATCCACGGAGACAGTGGATGGGGAAGAACCATTTGTAGAAGATCCAGTGGCAAAGCCTGAGTTCCTCGGGGAGCCCCAGGGCTGACTGCCATGAAGATTCCTGGGCTTCTCTGGATTTGAAGTGAATTCTTCAGAGTCCTGTCTCAAGGGGGAAAGGGCAGCAGAGGACTCTGAAGTGACAATGCAGTCCCTACTTCTTCTGCCCCTTCTTGGGATCACAGATCCATAGATGACAGGCTTGGGGGGCCTCTGCGGTAATTCCAAATGAGAGAAAGAAAGTGACAGTCCCAGCAGGTCTGGAGTCTGCTCTTTCCTGTGAGAGCCTGGAAACGAGTTGCTCCTTAGGTGTTGGGCAGCCCCAGTGTAGCTGGCTGAAGGACTATAAGAGTTGGCCACTCTGGCACATGGGTCCTTAGTGGTCTTTGCAGGTAGGAAACCTTGGAGGACAGCTGGGGGTGTCTCAGATGCCCCACAGGGAGATGGACTGTCAGTTGAGAGAGAGGCTGTTAGGATCTCCCTCCTAGGAAAGGCAACTGGAGAGTTGGCGGTGATGAGGGTAACTTCATCAGGACTGAAAGGCACTGACTCTGGTGTCCTTGGTGGAGTCACAGATGTACTGGCAGAAAATGCCTCAGTTTCCTGTAGGGACACTGTCTCCTTCCTCGCCTTGAGCCCTTCTTGCTGGCTGTTGTGAGCCATTCTGTTGTTCAGTGATTCCTCAGTAGCAAAGGAACCAGGTAGAGAAATGGACTGGGAAGACCGTCCTACAGGCTCCAATGTAGGAGTCGGAGTTCTGTGGATCAGTTCCTCAGGCACAGGATCCCTCTGAACACCAGGAGTCTGACAAGAGACATCTGGAAACAACACACCCGGAGAAAGGACCTCAGAGGCTACCAGAGCCACTGGGGAAGGACTGCAGTGCTCACGGTTGTCCTCTGTGCCCCATGCTTCCACCGCTCCCTGCCCACCCCTTTTCCCATCCTCTCGCTCCTCTTCACCTGAGTCTACCACCTCCTCTTGGTCCCCTAGTGACATCGCTTTTCCTGTTTGACCATGATCTTGCTTTCCACTTACATCCTCTGCCTTCCTGACTGAGCTTTGATTCTCTGCATACTGAGATACTCTACCAAGCTCTTCTGCTTCCCTTAATTCCTGACCCCCTTGTCCCCCCTCTTCTGGAGCTCTCTGACCCTGAGCCTTCCTATTCTTGTCCTCTTGACCCAGCTCTCCATAATTCAGACTTTCCGTTTCCCTACCAAGCCCCTCTCTTTCCCTTTGTCCTACGAGCGTCATAAAGTCTTGGACCTGTTTCCACTTTTGCTGCTGTTCTTCTTTACCATTAACCTGTTCTACCATCTCTTCCTGCTCTCCCCAAAGCCCATCAGAACAACTGTCCTCCCTCAAAGTTCCTTCCTCCTGAAATTCCACTTCGTGTTGTTCATGTTCCTCCAGCCATTGGGCCTCCTGAAGTTGGACGAGGCCTTGCCCTTGATTTTCCTTCAACTGCAGTTGTTTCCCCTGCCAGAGAGGTTCACTTCCAGAGCCCTCAGACTGGTAGGTCTCAACAGGGTGCTTTTCACAGGGAGGCCTTAATCCTGTATGAGCCGAGGTATACAGAGAGGTTTCTTCCTCCTCTCCTGCTTGGCCAGTTCCCAGTGTGAAAGCAGCGAGTTCCGGCTTCAGTGCCATGTCCATTCTGCCATCAAGTTCGTTGGCTATGTCTAGACACTTCCCCTGGAACGCATAGGTCCAGAGCTCTGGGAGAGCCAATGTCCTTGCTAGTCTGTCTTTCAGGCTGTGGGATGCTGCTTCCTGATGCTCTGGAGTGTCATAGGCCTCAGACACAAAGTCTCCCTGAATGGTCTCCACATCTGAAGAATCTTCCTTGAAGAAAAACGGTGCACTGCCAGGTGTGCAGTGGCTCATGGCCCTTAGCTCTTTTGGCTGGTTCACCAAGGGTGTGTGTCTGTCAGTCCACTTGTAGGATGGGTCCTGTCCTTGAGTTTCAGGTTCTAAAGCCGGGACCTGACTGCTCCTCATGATAGCTTTAGGACTAATTCTGAAATCTTCTATGACAGTATTGGGAGTAGATGCTCCATGCTGGGGCCCCTCAGCCTCCATCAGGGCTGAAACCTAAGGAAGAATGCAAAATAAAAGTGTCTAATGCCTTCTCTATGTTATTTTTTTAATTGAACCGGGCTACAGTTTCTTTTTCTTTTAAAACTAAATTATATTAATGTATGTGTATGCCCAATTGTCTGTATATGTACAATGTGTGTGCAGTACCCTCAGAGGCCAGATGAGGAGGCTGGATTCCCTGGAACAGGAGTTACAGGAGATTGTGTGCTGCCTGATGTGGGTGTTGGGAACTGAACCAGAGTCCTCTGAAAAAGCAGCAAGTGCTCTTAAATGCTGAGCCACATCTCCAGGTCCCAATTTCTCATTTTAAAAATTAATTTAGCCGGGCATGGTGGTGCATGCCTTTAATCCCAGCACTTGGGAGGCAGAGGCAGAAGCAGGCAGATCTCTGTGCGTTCAAGGCCAGGCTGGTCTACATAGCGAGTTCCAGGACAGCTGGGGCTACAGGGAGATCCTGTCTCAAAAAGACCAAAAAAAAAATAAAAATTTACTGAGGGCTGGGGTGATGGCTCAGTTGGTAAGTGCCTGATGTTTATACATAAGGACCTGAGTTCGGATCCCTAGTGCCCATGTAAAAACACTGGGGTGGTCATGGGTGTCTGTAACTCTAATGTGTGGGCAGTGATGGGAGGATCACTAGAGCTTGCTGGTCAGCCAGTCCAGACAATTGGTGAGTGCTGGTTTAGTGAGAGACTATTTCAAAAGTCAAGGTGATGAGTCTTTAAGATACCTGGCATCAACCTCTGGCTTCCACAGACACATATCACACACACACACACACACACACACACACACACACACACACAGAGGTTTACCTGTGATCCTTTTTAAGTGTAGGGTAATCAGTAGTGAATGAGACAAAGCTCCTTGTGGGATGTAGTCTTATGGGGAAATGTGATTACAATTACAAACAATTCAATTAGCATATAAGACCATTGTCAAAGAGTTCCAGGAACTGGTGGTCACTACACTCTAAACTCTATTATACCATTGTCTATATTGTCTAGTTCTCCCTGCCTATTCTGGACTGAGTGACTCAGCCTCATATAACTACCAGACACGAGGGTTGACACACCCTACATCTAACAGCCTAGAGAAGTAGTGTCAAGTGTGGGACCTTCCTCCTAAGCTGCTGACATGGAATTAAAATAGGTCAGGCTATTACAGTAGATGTGCAACAGATGAGTTTCAGCTCCTTTCTATGGGGCCTGAATTTTGCTTAGCTTCCTATTACAGTGTTTAGCAGTGCCTCATAACTGATGAACAATTTTGTTTTCAGTTAGAGACAACTGTTGTGAAGGGGAAAGATAACCCACTTATCATCAGAGCCCATAAAGCTGGGCTACCTTCACTTGCTCTCCCTCTCTCTACCACCATGTTAGCTCTTTTCACTAGACCTTCCTGTCTGTCTTCCCACTTCCAACAGAACACCTCACATCCTACTTTGCAAAGAATTTAGAAAAAGCTCCTGCTTCAGTGTATTACAATCCCAAAGCAGGGTGTGTGTCCACTCCCTGTACCACCCCTCCTCCGTGCTCCACTCAGCCTGTCTCCTCAAGGCCTTTGTGCCATGGATTATCTCTCTGACCACATCAGCCACTCTACTAGAACCACTCCACAAGCATCTAAGCAATCCTGTGCATTTTTCATCTTTTGGATGTCTAAAGACAGCTCTATGTGTTACCCTCATAGCCTACCATCCCACCTGTTCCCCCCAGTTTCAGTGACATTCTGCCAATATCCCTTGCAATCTTACTTTGGTTGGTAGTTGTGACAAGTACTATTGACTTTACAATTATTCCCCTTCTTGTCTCTTACCCTATTATGCAGTCCTGACTTATGCCTTAGGGTTATAATCCCTCAGCTGGGTTGAACTATATTTCTACTACAAGTACTGATAAATTATACTTCACTTCTCCTTTGCATTTATACCATTATAATTATGTGATTTTGTGTTCTGATTTAACCTCCAACCAACAGATGATAAGCTGTGTAAGATCAAGAACTATACCCACTCTGTTCAATTGTCTACCTCTAACACACTAGGCCCACAGTAAGTGCTCACTAGACATTTTAAACATAAAGGTTTTCTATCTTGGTGCTCTTCCCACTCCTTGTACCTGGAACACAGCCTAGCCCTGGCCTCTACACACATACTTCATTCTCCACACATCAGTGGCGTGATCTTCAAAATACCACTTGTAGTTTAAATTCCTCAGTATCTTCTGCCTAGCCTTGAGATGACTAGCAAAGGTCACACATGCTGAACAATCTGGCCTTTGCCTTCCTCTCCAGCAGTCCTATCACCTGTTGGCACCTGCCTCTACCACCAGCCCTCAGCCTCCTCTCTCCCAGCTACAGGCCTCTGTATGTACCTGGAATTCCTCTGCCTGAAATGTGGCCCAGAGAATTTTCTGCTTCTCCTCAAACACATATTGCACTTGTCTACCATTTCCAAGCTATGCCGGGAGCTCCAGAAGGAGCAAACTCCACTATGTTAGCGGTGCAGTTCCCTCTGGGTAAGCTTAGTTGTCCCTCAGGAAAGATGTATTATATAATGGGAGGATGGAAGAATATAATTAAAAGAGTTTATTTCAATCTTTAATTTTCTTTATTAAAATTATTTTATTACCTTTATGTGAGTGAATGTATTGCCTGAATGCATATAAGTGCACCTGTGTCGTGCAGTGTCTGTGGAGGTCAGAAGAAGGCATTGGATCCCCTGGAACTGGAGTCACAGGTGGTTGTTACCATGTGGGTGCTGAAAATCAAACCTGGGTCCTTTGCTAGAGCAGTCTGTGCTCTCAACTGCTGCATCTCCCCAACCCCAGTTCTGTCTTTTCTGACTCTGCAAGTTTTAAGACTGATGTATAAATCATTTAATTCATTTGACTATCCCCTTCCTTATCTATAACAGAAGGAAAAACTGCTTCCTTCACAATTCTAATGAAGAATAATTAATATAACACAAAAAGTGCATTATTATCTTTAAGGGTCACAGAAATGGCAAGTATTGTTGATCTGAAAGAGATGTGTAAGAGGGACAGAGATTTAGAAACTAGAGAGACCTTTGGAGAAACACAAAACATTGCTCAAATTGCAGAAGAGGAAACTAAAGCTCAAAAACCCGACCTTTGTTAAGCAAATGGTACAAGTGGACCTGAAGCAAAGGCCCTTGGAGAGGCCTACTGTTAAGCACCCAATCATCCAGGCACCACACAAGACCCTAGGTGGAACTGAGGCCTCACCTTTCTGGTCTACCCGAAGCTTACTGTGGAAGCCCACCCACCAGAATGCCTGTTGTCCTGAGCTGCTGTGTATTTACACACACACACACACACACACACACACACACACACAGAGAGAGAGAGAGAGAGAGAGACAGAGACAGAGACAGAGACAGAGACAGATACAGAGAGCTACCCTTGTAGTCTCTATGCAATAGAATCTGACATAACCAAACAGGCAAGCGCCTAGCCACCTTGCAGATGTAGCATGTGACAAGTTCCTGGTCACCTCACAGATGCAGATATTATCTATATAGGGCAAGAAGGTATGACTAACATAAGTGCACCCGGGTTAAAGGACTCTTATGTCCTTTTCAATTAACCACGTATATGATTTGCTCCATCTAGCCCTGAAATATAAAACATAAATGACATTATAATGAGGCCTTATTCTCTTAGCCACATGTTAAATAACATATTTGCCCACTAGACATTTTCTGAAACTTGTTCCTACCTGCCTCAGAAAACTATGTGATGAACCCTGTCATCTCCCAGCATCCATATTGTCCAGGCTCCTTATCGCCAACATCATCATATCCTCAAAACGAGTACTGCCTGGATTTAAAAATGAGTTTCAGCCATATCCGGCATTCATCCACGTGTACTATGTGCTAGATGGATATTTTTAGTTCTGATGTAGGGACATAATGGGAACACACTATTTCTAACATGCTTTATGTCCTTGGAAATGTGGTGGTGACCTGTTACACACCATTCACGCCAAAGGCAGAGCTCACAGTCTCTCGACTTGACTCTGTCTTAGAAGTCCTATGCAACCAGGCATCACCCAGCTAGAATGTTGAGAAACCTAAAAGAAATCTGTAAAACATGGTCTTACTCGTGTAAAGGCATTAAAAGGGAATTTTGTTTGTGCTGCCTGTTCCGTTAGAGTTGAAGCATCTTCATCTCCTTCTTCTCTGGGGTGACTAATCACTATTTATCTGAGCACAGGCAGAGACAGGGCATGGCACCACAGGGATCCAGCCTTTCTCCAGACCAGAGACATTTCACATCACTTGTGACTTTTTAGACAACAAAGCTCCATTTCACCACATTAACTGTGGAGCACAACCCATTGTCTCCCACAGAGACCCCCAACACCTTAACTCCTGTCTATCTCTAGTCACTAGGTATAAAATTATTTCAAAGATACCCTTACTCTTAAGATTACAACACCTCTTCCTACACATTTGCTTACAGTAGGAAAATCCTCTTCTGCTTTCAGTCAAAAAGAGAGCCTCTCATTTTCATCTAGATGATAAGATCACTATAGAGATAAGTAACTTTATTCACTGCTTGATATTACTGTCCACAGTACTACAAAGAGCTCAAAGTAAGGATAGCATTCTGGATTACTTCACTTCTCTGTCCACTGTAGGAAAGTCCCACTAACCCGGTGGACTGTAATATTCCCTAATGTCTGAAAACATTACATCATCTACTACCTTACAGACCAGATGGCCTCATATAAGAACACCGTGAGGATGGTTATATCCACAAGCCCACCTGTGACCCTGGGTTCATCCACACAGATCAGTTGTTAGTGACTTGTTTGTTTTGGACATACATGGTGACATACCATTGGTCTACTTTGCAGATACTCTAAGTGACCAGCTCCTTTTCACTCTACACACACCATGAGCAGAAGCTTCTGTCTACAGCACCTGTTTGTGTCTATACCACTTGAACCCACCATCCCATGAGAGCCCTCATTTCCAGCCAGAGTGGCTATTTCAGACATCACAATAGATAAGTACATAACGTGGCCATAGACAACCTCGGACAGATCATGCTAAGGGCAGCCATACCCTCTAGAGGGCCCTGATATGTAAGGATCCTTGGCTACATCTGCATCTTTTGTATTGCCTTTTAAATTCCCTCCCAATAGCATGCTTTCCTCCCTTACCAGAGTCTTAGAATTTACACCTGTCTCTGGCCCAGCAGTCCCCTCACCCCCACCCTCCACCCCAGCCCTTCTGATGGTCAAGGCTTCAGTTTCATTTGCACTGGCTGATTAACAAATGATGCCTATTTTGTTGGGGCCGGAAGCTTCCAGCCAGGTGTAGATAAAGCAGGAAGTTTGGGAAGAGGCCACACTGGTGGGGGCAGCTTCTCTGTGAGCTGGTGCTTTTGGAGTTGAACTGGGAGCACCTTAGGGAGCCAAGGAGGAAGGAAGCTTGAAAGGAAAACCATCCTCTCACCCTGCTTGTTTGGCTGCCCTTCCCCCTCAATCTGACAACAGTGCTGGCCAGAGTTCACTTCTAGGTAGACAGGAGGACAAGACCGTCCTGGAAATCCAAGATCCAGGAAGGGGAGGAGGGGATGGGACAGTGCTCTGAAAACAGGAGACCTCAGGACTAGCTCTCCCAGGCCAGTCCTCTGAAAGGCAATTATAAAAGATGTGCAGAACTAGGGCTCTGAAGATGTGCTCTTGCCCCACCATCCTGGATGGCTGCTCCTTTGCACTTTCCTAAGAATCCAGTGCTGGGAGCAACAGGAAGCTAAATGGAGGAAGGTAAATGGGGGAGGGGAGCTGAGAGCAAGGATTCCTGTTACAGGTTACCCTGGGCTCACAGAGGAGAGAGGTGTACACAGATGCACACATATGAATGTATGGAAATGCAGTGACGGTAACGAAAGAAGGCCGGGGCCTGGTCATGAAAAGGAGGCAAAAACTTTCAGATAAGGAACAGCTTAGAAAGCGAATCCCTGTGGTTCTTTATTAGAGAAGCTAGCTTTCCCTAGGGCCCTAACTTTGAAAAAGAAAAACAAGAGCCCTGATTACTGGCCCGGGAACATCGCGGGGGTCGGTGCCCACGTCCAGTGAGCAGACCTGGCCAGAAAGCAACTCTTTCCCCGGAGACCCTGTCTTCCAGGTGCCTTCCTCGGCCCCGCCAGGTGCTCAGTCTCCCGCTCAGAGCCCAGCCTCCTGGCCCAGGCCCCCGTTTCCGGGGCGCGCACCCCGGGACTCGGCTGGGACAGGTCCCGGGGAGGCCTCGCTTCCTTTTCCTTCCCGTCCCTGCCTTACCTCGGCGGCTCCACCGCCACCCCGAGCCCGGGGCAGACCCGGGAGGAGGGTACCCACCTGGTCGGAGTCACATGCTGCCCCGGGCAGGCCCGAGAGTCCCCTCCAGGTCCCAGCGCCCTCCGCTGTCCCCCGCCGGCCCGGCGCCCCACCCGCCGCCCGCCCCTGCCGCCGGACGGGAGGGAGGCCCCGCTGCTCCCGAGGAAGTTTCAGGTGAGGAAACAGGGACACACCTTCCCGAGGGAGGGGCGGCCCCGGTGCGCCCGAGCCTCATTGGCGTGAGGGACGCTCCCGTCAGAGCTGGGAAGAGCCGGGCCTGGGCCAGCCTGCGCCAGCCGGGCGCAGCACAGGCCGCGGCCATCCAGGACCGAGCACCGAGCACCGAGCACCGAGCACCGGGGAGCGCCCGACAAGGTGCAGCCACCCAGAGGCCGCACCCGGAGGACTGGGACCGGACTCCCGGGGTCCCACGGCCCTATGCACGCACCCTGAGTGTGCCTTCCCTTGGGGTCCCCCCCGGGGCTCCCCCTGATCCTTGCGGACCACGCCGACCTCGTGTGTGTGCTTGTCTGTGGCCTGGTGGTGTGTCGGGATGTCCGAAGTTTGTGTGTGTGCATGTGCCTATCCTTCAGGCCTCAGGGCCATGCACTTCTCTTCTGAGATGTTTACCCTGTTAAGTTAAAGGGGTGTCCTTTGCTCAGAGCTCTCTCTCTCTCCCTTCGTCCTCTCCCCCTCTCTCCCTCGCTCTCTCAGTTGTGCAGCTCCGAAAACAACTTGCCTGTATCTTTTCTCTGAATCCCATGTTTGCTTCCACATTCCTGAATTCATTTTAAGATAATCATCATGTCCCAGGGTATGTGATCCTTCTGTGTTCCTTCCAGTATGCTGCCTGTGTGTGTGTGTGTGTGTGTGTGTGTGTGTGTGTGTGTGTGTGTGTGTGTTTAGGTTTAATTCCCTAAGCCTATGTTTTTAGTCTATTTTCTGGTCTGTGGGTTTTCCCAAACACACACAAACACACAGATATCTTTCAGGGAAATGTTATATTCTGTTGGTCTGGGAGGCTGACCCTGAATAGTGTTTCTGCATGTCTTTCTAACCACTTCAAAGAATACCCAGACGCACACATACACACAGTGAGGGAAGGAGGGAGAGAGGGAGGGAGGAATGGGGTGGGATAGGGAGAGAAAAAGAAAGAGAGAAATTGAAATTCTCACCTGGGACAGAAACTTTTAATATTCTGTATGTAGGTTCTTTTCCCAAACCCATTTATTACCTGGTGAGTTTCCACAGTTACTGTAAGTCCAGGAGAATCCTAACAGGCTCTTTGCCTACTTTCTTTGCTGGAATGCTGTGGCCCACAACTCCAGACAGCTTTATACATAGACTGTGTCCTGATCCCTGTGTCTACTAGCTGTTATACTGATCCTGGCAGGAGAGGCTAACCAGTTGTTTGGAGGTGCCTGTGGAATAAAATGTGGTCAAGGATCAAGGAAGAATGGCCTCCTTTCTGATAGAGTCCCGAAGCAGCTCTGTGTTCAGAGAAGGCACTGTTCTGTCCTGCTGCTCTGAAGGACTAAGCTTTGAACAGTTCGGCATGCTCTCAGTTGTCATAGAATATACAGGAAACAATAGGAAACACCAAGACTAGGATTTAGCCATCTAAGGGGAGGGCAACAAGCATCAAAGCCCAGCAAAGGGTTAGGAGCAGAAGTGCAGCAAGTCAGACTTAAAACAAGACTAGCTCAGCTCTGGTTGTCAAAAGGTTCTTGATTTCTGATGGGAGAATAAACTGTCAATTTCTGATCCTTGGGCAGAAGTTGTTGGTCTCTGGCATCTTCTATACTGCCTACTGGGTGGGAGTAGGCAGTGTGGACAAGGATGTGGGAACTGCCCCTAAGCCAGGGTGCCGTTCATTTCGCCTCACTTGGTTCTTAGGCACAGCTTACTTTCGCATTTTCTGGGTCTCGTAGCCTGGCTGGACCTCCTTGTTCTGCCAACTATGTCCAGAGTTAAGCATAGGGGCTATGACCAGGCTTTTCCATGGTAGTAAGACGTAATAAGGTTAAGCTGGCCCTTTGTAGAGTTTGCCCGTCTTCTGTGCCTTGTCCTGTCAGAGTGTGCCTGCATATGAGGACCAAGCTAACTCTCTCAGCTCCTCCTGTGCCTGCAGAATGAGTCTCATTATTTAATTTATGGATTTTTTTCTTTTACATTTTGTACTGCTCAGACTTCAGAGCTAGACTTGTCATCTCAGCCTGAGATTTAGAAACTACATTTGGGTTTATTTTTCCTCCAAAACTCTTAGATACACCTCTTTCACCGTACAGTGAAAGAGAATGTGTTGCAGATTCAGATGGCTAGAGACTTGAATTCTGCAGCTGCCACTTATTTAATGTGAACATTTGGGAATATCAGCTTGCTGGTGCTTCAATGTTTCTATGCCTTATTTGTATGCTGTCATACATGGAGACAATTTTTTGATATTTTATTTTTATTTTTTGTGTGTATGAGTGTATTGCCTGCATGTATATAAGTGCACCTGTGTCAATGCAGTGCCTGTGGAGGTCAGAAGAGGGCATTAGATCCCCTGGAACTGGAGTTACAGATGGTTGCTAGCCGCCATGTGTGTCTGGGGACTTGAACCCAGGTCCTCTGCAAGAGCAGCTCGTGCTCTTAATGGCTGAGCCTGTATCTAGCCCCAGAGATAATTTTTAATAATGCCCACCTCACTGGGTTGTTGCTGAGACTGAAGAAAAGGGATATGTAGAAATCACTTATACAGGCACCTTCTGTGGGAAGATCCTAGATATGGGTTATTTTCCTTTTCTAAGAGGGCCTGACAGTTATGCATGTAGAGTGAGGAGAGGTAAACAGATGCAAAATAAAGTTACTTGAAATGAGAGCGATATTTGACGCAGAAGAATAAACACAGTTCTGGAATGTGAGCTTCAGATTCAGTTGGAGAAAGTGCCTTTGAGTGCCAGCTGGGGTCAGGAGAGGAACAAGGGATAGTCCTCTATAGTTCTGGGTATTTGGGCTGAAGTTTTTGCCCCAGGAGCTCACTAGTCTCATCTCAGTGCATGTCCTCTGCTCCCACACGTACAGCTCTGACTCTTGATGGGTCTTTTCTCTCCGATCTGACTGGCCCTGCTTTCATCTGCTCACGTGACCCACCTTTAAACATTTTGGACCTGAGTTTGAAGAGTTCCTTTCTTATTTTGGATGACTGTGGTGTCTTCATCTTTGTCCTTTAAGTGCACCCTGACTTGACCACTGTGGTTCTTTGCTATCCTGTTTTATTGATAGTTTGATTAACTTGTCTTCATTTTCTGTTTTGCTTTCCACTTACTTCTTTTCTCAACCTTCCCACACTGGCACTTGCTTAAACTCGGTGCTATACTAATTAACTCCTTCGTTTGCCTGTCAACCTGTGCCCAGTGTGTATTCTCAGACACTAGGTTAGCAAAGGTCAGTTCTCTGCTTCCCAAAAGCTCCCCATCACAGCAAAGGAACAGGTGATAAATGTTATCTTGAGAGGAACAATGGGAGCCTAAAAGAGAGGGAGCCACACTGCTTGGGGAGTAGAACTGACCTAGGAGGTGAGGTGATACTGGAGTACATGTGTCATAGAAAGCCACTCTTATCTTTTTAGAGGAAGACAGAGCTAAAGGAGATGAACAGAAGATCCAAAAGGAGAAGCCCAAGTACCTTCTGATCAGAGAAGTACAAACAGTGTGGGTTTAGCTAGAAGAGAGGTAAAGAAATCCAGCATGTGTTTGGGAATGGTGGTCAGGCAGCCATGTCAGGAAAGGCCTTGTGGCCATGTAGTCTGAGTTAGGTATTATCGTGATGTAGTCAGACTAGAAGCCTAGAAGCCACTCTGGTTGCCATATGGAGAATGGATCGAAGAGGGTAATGAAATGGAGATGCAGGGAAGCCATCTCGGTGTTGTGATGATTAGTTGCATTCACAGCCCTGTAGGTGAGACAAGATGACACCCTGAACTAATGAAGTCAGGAGGCTGGAGAGGTGGTTTAAGAAGTGTTTGCTGCTCTTGCAGAAGACCAGAGTCCAGTTCCCAGCACCTACATGGGTGGCTTACAATCACATATAACTCCAGCTTAAGGGGATCCAACTCCCCCTTCTGGCCTCCACAGGCACCATCATGCATGTGCATATACATACACACAAATAAAAATTTAAGAATATCTTAAAATAATAAAGTCAGAATTTAAAAATTGACTGTCGGGCAAGTGAAAATGATTTGCTTCATGTAAACTGACAGACTAGAGGACCCCAAAATAAACCCACACCATGACAGCCAATTAATTTTTGACAAAGGTGTCCAAAAAATACATTGAGAGCTTAAGAGATGGCTCAGTGGTTATGAGCACTTCCTGCTCCTCCAGAGGACCCAGATTCAGTTCTCACACCTCCATAGTGGCTCACAACTGTCTATAACTCCACTTCAGGGGATCTGACTCCCTCTTCTGGCCTCACTTGGCAGTGCATGTACTCTGTGCATTTAGATATATGTAAACAAAACACTCATAAATTTTATGAGTATGACATGCCTTTAATCCAGGCATTTGGAAGACAGAGGCAGGTGATTCTCTGTGAGATAGAGGCCAGCCTGGTCTAGATAGCAAATTCCAGACCAGCTGGAGCTACAAGGGAAGCCTTGTCAAAAAGAAAGAAAAGGAGAAAGAAAAGAGAGAAAGAAAGAAAGAAAAAGAAAGAAAGAAAAAAGAGCCCAGCTCTCGTGCAAAGGCAAGTAGATCTCTGTGGGATCAAGGCCAGCCTGGTCTACATAGTGTCTTCCAGGCAGGCTGAGACTAGCTAGAACATGTCCAAAAAAAAAGCAAAAGAAAAATATTTTTAAAAAACATATTGGAACAAGGACAGCCTTCAACAAATAGAGTGTGGAAAGTGGATATTCGTACATAAAAAATGAAAGTAGATTTCTGTCTCTGCAAAAAATCCAAATGGGAAGACCTTAATATAAGACCTGAAACTGAATCTTTTAGAAGAAAATATACGCAAAACAAATCAAGATATAGAAAAGGCAAGGGGTTTCTGAAAAGGACTCCAATAACACAGGAAATTTCAAAAATTGACAAATGGGTGTATAAG